TTTTTTTTAACTGTAACTTATAAATGTAAATAAACTATTCCTTGTAAGGTGCAGTGTTTAAAGCGTCATTAACCTGTTGATGCTCCCAGTGCCAGTGCTTTAACCACGTGTCCAACAGTTTGAATTCCTCCATCAGCAATAACTGGTACTCCGAAACGACGGGCGTATTCTGCAACCTTGTATACAGATGTACCCTGGGGTCTTCCGCATGCCATTACTGAGGGGATAGGTCATTTTGTTAAACAGTATATGTTTTACTGTTGTTGACATATAACAAAAAAATGAATAAAGTTTTAATATATACAGGAAGTATTTGTAAACCATTTGTGTCTCATATGTCGCCCTTTTCAGGTAAAAACCAGCAGAAGTTTGATGTCCTACCTTCCTGCGTGATACAGATGGAGCCACAGCCCATGCCCACCCGCAGAGCGTCCACGCCTGCATCTATGAGGTTTTTGGCCTGAGCAGCGGTCACAACTACCGAGGCACACAAAAGAGCTAACTGAAGAAAAAAAATTAAAAATTGCATACTGAGGGAAGAAGGTAAGCTCACCATTTCCTCCGACCACTTGGAGCTCGGGATACTTCTGTTTAATGTAGTTTATCATGTTAATTTGATAAACTGAGTTTCCCTGGGAAGAGTCCTACGGAAAATGTGACACGTCACATGTCAATAACAAATACAAAAATAAAAAGTAGTAGCACAGTTAAACTTACCAGGACTACTACGTCCACCCCAGCCTGCATTAGGAGGTCCAGTCTATATTTATCATCCTCACGGGTACCGATGGCAGCCCCACACAAAAGCTGCTTGCGGGAGTCCTTGGAAGCCAGGGGATAATCTCGATTCTTCTTCAAGTCCGTGCGAGCAATGATGGCCACCAGTTCGTCGCTGTCGTTCACAATGGGTAGCTTACCTACGAGGGTCACAGTTGAGGTGAGTGCATGTGAAAAGAATTTTTTTATTTTTTTTTTCACATGCAAGTGTACGTGTTTGTGCGTTGGTTTTAGTAATGTTGGCCTCTACGCATCGTTACCTTTTTTGCTCCGTTGTAGTATATCGTTAGCCTCTTTGAGCGTAACTCCAGCTGGTGCGACAACTAAATCTTCTCTTTTTGTCATTGCCTGAAAAAAGACGGTTTAAATGGGAACAAACACACAGTTCAACCACATGTGTCATATATTTATAAATGTCAGAAACACAGCCGATGGTATTTTCTCGGATTACACAAGACTGGCTGGTGTTCCTGATTTCCATTTCTTTATTTCTTGGAATGTTTTGGAAATGTAGCACAACAACAACAACAACATGCTCGGTTAAAATACCCTAGGTGTCCAATGCCCTGCTGTGAACATAAATCGTAAAAAAAAATATGCTGACCTCCTCCAAGGGTCTGTCATGGTCCTTCTCAGACAAAAAGTCAATGTCTCTGGAGGTGACAATGCCAACCAGCTTGCTTCCCATCTTGCCGGCTTCTGTTACAGGGATTCCCGAGAAACCGTGGCGAATCTTGGCCTCGAACACGTCGCCCACAGTGTGTTGGGGGCTCATCACCACTGGGTCTGTGATGAAACCCTGCTCAAATTTCTGGCGGGAAGAGTTTTGAGAAGAATCCAGAAATATTCTCGTGCACTAGTTCAGCAGTGTCAAACATACAGGCTGCGGTCCAAATTGAGGTCGCAAGTGTATTCAAATCAGCCCGCTTGAGGAATTTTTTTGAAATAAGGATTAAGAAACCTGTATTAAGAAATAACATTTGCTGCATTTATTATTTATCATTTACAGAGAGCGACCTCATCGATGCTAACGTGGCCTCAAAATTATTATCGGTTGGGCGATAATATCGGACATCCCTATTATTTACTGATAGCCCACGGAATCAAATGCAGATGAATAGTTTCTTGAGCAAGACAATTACGATGAGTGAGAACTGTGGATGTCACAATTTATTTTTTTTTTATTTACTCTTCCTACTTGTGTTCACTGTCCTTTGTCCTACCTTAACTTTGCGCACCTCATTGGCCTGGAACTCTGCTGTACAGTTATGATGTATTATTCCAATTCCACCCATCAACTAAATGCAGTCAGAAACAGCATTGAAGCATTAATTATCATTCAGAGTTTTTTTTTTT